GTGTAATTAGGAACGAATTACTTAGACTTGAAATGAAGCTCAGTCCGAGTTTCAATTATTTGAAAGACTTGGGACACATTCATTATTCGCCAGAGAAAAATGAGAACACAAGATTTATATGGAATATAGCATCTTCATTGATGAATGAAGGTTTTCATAATTTTGAATATATTAATCAGCATTTACACTTATTCAGTTCCCAGACTCTCATCTGAAAGAAAAGCTATTCAAATTTATGTCATGCCTAACGAGCTCATTTCATTGCATTCAAAAAAGGTACCTTCCGAAAACTCATATCAGAAAGTTAATATCTAAATATGTTTAGATGTCCCATTAAACAGGAGGATCGGGGGATCAATTCCTGAAATTGTCATTTATCAACAACGTTAAAAACTGATATAATTCTATACAGTAGCTGGACATGTAACGTGAGACAAAAGAAGGGGAACATAATGAAAATTATATGCTATTAAATGACATAGAACAAAGCAAAACATACATTATTTTTTTTAGTTTTAAAACAAGTGTTTATCCAAAAGGACGATCAAAAGTTGCTGACGCACTTTGCTGTTATTGTTCTGTTTTTGTTTTGTTTGTTTTTTTTTTTTTGTCATTCAAATCTGATTCAGTGATAACTTCTTTTACTTCCTAAATAGACTAATAGTTGCAAACTATTTTGATTTTATGTGTCTGCAGCACTGTTCGCTAAATGAAGGTTATTTAAGTATAGGATAATGGATGAGATCCGAGGCTTATTGAAAATTATGAATCCATTTAATACACATTCTCATTGTTTTCGAAGGAAAACCACTTACTAGCAATTCCCAAAGGGTTCATTAACATAACTATTTTTCTCGTCAGTCTCATGGGACCAATGCTAACAATGTCTTTTGTAACAAGCCTCAAGAAAATGTTAAATTACTTTTATGTTCCTGTTTCAACCCAGTGACTGCAATAATAACATTATCGGAAATAATGACTACTTCAAAACAATGAGAGTGTGTATTTAGGATTTTTCTTACAGCGTGCCAGCATATTGYTAGAACTCAAGCCAAGGAGAATGTGCATTGCTTATCGAAGTTTTTTGTACATGGACCAACTTAGTAGTCAAAGAAATCTCCAAAARTCACCCATACATTCTTAATAATTTTCATTCAAGAGAAGCAGAGCGTTTTCTAACTGAACTAGCGCAAAAGGTGTCTGAGAAGAAACAAATGAGCTACAGTATTGTCATCTCTTGGCTTAGAGCTAAACTGTCATTTAACCTATTGCGATCTGCTGTTCTATGCATAAGGGTTCAAGGACATTAAGAAAGAAAACAAATTTCGACGTCAATGACGCTATTTTTTTCAAATTTTAACGAAAACATGTAATTTTTTAACCTTATTTATTTATTATTGTACATAGTTAAATATATTTGATTCAAAATTGTATTTTATTGGAATATTTAATWAAGTGATTATTATTATTATTTTCATTCGCGTATTTCTGTTAAAAAGCATTATTTGTACTCAAAATTTCGTAATGATCCTGCAACTTAGATGTTCTCTTGAGAACAAGAATAACAATTCGCCAACTTGGCCTCTAAAGAATATCGCGTGATCAGTGAAAATCCAGAATGACATGACTTTTTGTTGTAAACAAATTAGGCGCGTTGGAATACACAAATTCTCAAACTCATTAATAATTCATGACTTTATAGTCCAATTGGGTGTTTATTTTAGAGTCACGTGCATACCCTTGGATACCATGATCCAACATCGGATGGTAATTAGTTCCAAACCCGTGTGTTTGGATATCCCAATCCATGTGTTTGGATATCCAGACACATGGGTTTGGAACTCATTAACATAAATTTGCCAGGCTTTAAAAACTTCTCGGTTACTTCTAACCACTAATCTTTTTTGGGTGTTTTTTTCCTTCTTCTTACTTCTCTAATCTTTATTTTAACTAATCAATTTTTATGTTATGTTATTTTACTATATTATACTACCTACTTCTTACCATTGGAGTGATTCGAACCGGTGACCTTTGGGTTGGGAGTCCAGTGCGTAACCAACTGAGCTAGTGGTGATTTTGTTGAAAGTATTGGGTTTTGACGTATTATTTATATTTCTCCTTGTGGCTATATTAACTTATTAGCACGTAAAAAAATTGATAGATCTATATTTGCTAAAGAAGCGATTTACTTTATACTTTATAGTTGTCCACGGTACATTTAATGGTCAATTTTTTTCATTCTTATAGAGATGTTAACACATTTTGCATATTTTGTACTCATCTTTTATTCTATATATTTATTCTATGAATACTTCATTTATATTTGAACATACATATTTCTTATTGAGGATTTTTGTAATACACATTTATGACAAATTGATCACTGGGTTTACTGGAGCATTGGATGGTATGCGTTACTCCCTCTTTGTCACCTGCTGACTGGCCGGGTACTTTTGATGTACTCGTGGGCGTTGTCATGGTCGAACTCACAGGTTGCGATCCGAGAACGTTTGACACTTTCTTGCATAAGTTTGTACTTGGCTTTTCGTACCGGTGCAAGGCACTTGATCGGTGGCCTGTTCGCTCGCGAATCATTTTKTCTGGAACTCCTGCGTTGAAGAGTTTTGTTGCACAGGACACACRCAGACAATGTGCGGTCTTCACTTTAASGCCCGCCTYTTTACACATTGAAGGAAGGATTTGGTTCASTGTATTGATTCCCACTACGCTCTTTTCAAACTGCATCTTGGTTGTACTCGGTCTAAAGTAGAAAGCACTCTTTTCTTTAGATTGTACCAAGCCAATATACACACGATAGAGCTCTAAAATGCACGGGTCGTGGTCTTCGTTCATTTCATGGCAGATATGCTTTATGCTTTTCGGCTCGTACTTGAGGTCTTTTAATCCTMCATGGAATGTCTTGGACACATTYTCTTGATACCTGATAAAGTTAGGGCCCAATTCGAAGTTTTCGATGGTCAGGTTTCTGTGTTCACTTSCTMTAAGCCCAAAGAGCTTCCCATTGTAGTAATAAACGGTATTCAAAAGGGTTTTTGCAGTAGTCATCCCCAGAMGCTTCTTGTCCCAGAACAGCTTTTCATCGGCATCGCTTACTGGTTCTTTCTCTTTTTGTTTGGTAGCTAGTGTTATTCCCTGGCGAGTGGCGTCTCTCATTTCAGAATCGAGAATTCTTCGAAAAATGAAGAACCTGAAGAAAAGAAACCATTTATTGCTGGCAAAAATTAATTTGATTTAGTAAAATGCACAAGTACGTACYTCTTATCACTATTATCCAAGGGATTGAGTGCTTCTCCTCCGTTTTGTTCTTCTAAATGACGCTTAATGCCACAGACAATTTGATATACTGTTCGAGATGGATAACGGCCACCGTTCTTGTTCGCGACTTCTTGCACAAATTTAGAAAGCCAGTAGTTCAGCGAAATGGCGCTCATCTGCTTTAGTTCCTCGTCGGCTGCTTTAACGCTGCTGACAGGATAATCTTTAAAAAGATTACCGACTTCAAGCTCAGGAATTTTTCGAGGTCTACACATTTGCCATGACCTGAAAATTTCCACGGCCCACTTCGTTTTGTATTTAGTAGATTGTGGCGTAGCTTTTGACAATAACTCAGCATCTTCTTCTTGAGTTTTTGGATCTCGAAAGCGACACGCGGAGGTTGCCTCCGCCATTTCAATTTATGANAACTGAGAACATAGGCAAAATGATCAAGTTAGAAAAATCTAGACATTGAATGTAATTCTAAATCCTCACTTTAACACACCTATAACACACGTAGTTAAAGTGAGGATTTGTAACATAGCTAGAAAGGTGATGTACAAACACCACATAATATGTCTCTTAACTAAGATGTCAGTGTTCAACTTCAGTTTAAACTTTGAAGCTAAAACTGATAATTTACTCAAATTAATATTATTATTTATTACTATTATTATCATTTTTACTAACTGAKAACACAGGCAAAGTGATAAAGTTAGACAAATCCAGACATTGAAGGTAATTCCAAATCCTCACTTTAACACACCTATAACACACGTAGTTAAGGTGTGTTAAAATGAGGATCTGTAACATAGCTTAATGAACTTGAACTTAGTTCTAACTTCACTACATATACCTACTCTACCCCGCCCTTTGTCTCCCTATTTGTCCCCCCTTTGACCCTTATGGATATAGCTTTCAAATAACTCATCTATTATAGACTGTAACATCGTATATTTCAGAAATACGTACCATATATATGAGTTTATTTWTATTCTCTCTTAAATGTGGGATTCTTTATTTCTCCAAAGTACTTTATTATAGATAACAGACACTCGTAGTAGTTTGCTCTTCAACTTTCAAGTATGTCCAGTATTGCGACATGACACGGGTTGACAATCCAATTTGACGGGTTGACCATGTCGCGATCGATCCAATCAAAGTACCGCCCACCCTCCCCACCCCAAGTTCAATTTTGTTTGATATTACCAATCTGTATCTTTTACCTTCCCCTCCCTATAAATATTTCTATTCTATGTTTGAAAATCATGTTATTTAACACCCCTCTTTCATGCGTAGAGATCTTGTCACACACCCGGACAACCGGAAGTTGGTAGTCAATATGTTAATAAGATCCACGGCCGCTATGAGGGCCCTGCCAAAAAGTTGTCGGGTTGACACAGCCCGACAACTTTTTTGGAGGTGCCCTGTATTCAAGACATCGAAAATATTCTATGTGCCATGGAATACATTAGCATATCGATGACATCACTTCCGGTCTTGACGAGTTGACACAACCCGACAACATTTTTGAGGGTGCCCTGTATTCAAGACATCGAAAATATTCTAAGTGCCATGTAACACATTAGCATATAAGTGACATCACTTCCAGTTTTAAAAGTCTTCTAAACAGGGCACCTTCAAAAAGTCGTCGGGTTGTGTCAACCCGATCAAGTTGACCAGCCCATC